CTTTCTCAATGTCCCTTTACACTGGTTAACATGTGATTACTAATGATTGATTACATATAAGCCTTTAATATTAATATCATTCGTTAACTGAGTAATACAACTGTCATATATCAGCAAAAACCTAAATAATTCAATGTAGTTTTACTAAGTGAATGTGAACATAATATTGATTTCTTGTAGTGTAACGTTACATTAAATCATGAATGTTATCTAAAAGAGATTTTTATATAGTGCGGTTTCATACTTACAGTCACCCTGAGGAATCCATTGACACTGTATCCAGTATCTACGATTTACAAAGAATCAGTCGGAGACTACGGTCCCTTTGATACAGAAACAATAGTCACTTACCTAATGTTTAACACATTTATGTTTGCATGACAAAAATAATTATTACCTATGTACATATATGTATGTCAAGTCAACTTCCAAACGATAGTTTGAATTTATTTCGTTTACAGATGTACCAAATAATGAAAAAGGAAGGATATTTGCTCTCTTGTAGTATTCAGTGGTTGATTTGAAATATTCTGCTTAAGGTTCCTAAATGGCAAAAGGTTGCTTAATATAAACAGCTAAATTCGGACAAACTTATATAAATGTAAATGTTGTATCACTTGACTTGTTATAAATGGATCAAAAGTAAAAACAAAATCAACGAATAACATTTATCCCGAGAAAATATGCATTTTTCTTTTTAATTGTATTTCTTTGTAATTAACTCGATACAGATTGATATCTCTGGTGATTTTTTGTTTGTTTTAAAATCTCTGTTGAAATTTGTATAAATATTAACATTGCAATGGACGTATTTACGTATCTCCATTTCAGCTTGTTCATCAGTTACATTTGGAGAGAACTGTGTTGAGGAATGTCATTGTAAGACGCCCGGATGTAACGAAGTGACCGGAATATGTCAAACACCAGGGTGCCAGGCTGGTTACCATGGGACCAGTTGCAGTCAAGGTTGGTCACGACTTTTGGTACCATCGCATGTACATATAATTTGTTATAATAATATGGATACAATTGAAATCAGTTAGATAAATATCTCTAAATATGGTAGCAGTCCAGCAAGATTATGTATATATGTATCTCCATTTCAGCTTGTTTGACCAGTTGCAGTCAAAGTTAGTCACGGCTTTTGGAATCATTGTCAAGTATCATTTGTCCGTTTAATTACAGTAGTTAAAATTCACAGATTGACAGATATTTTAATTATTATACTAATTCAGGTGTAAAATCTCGATAATATTACATTTATTCATACATATATGCACTGTAATAGATAAAGGATGCTTTCTGACAATAAGTATGTAGAACAGCCTGTCCTACTTTTAGGTTGTTCGAGAACAACATTTGGAGAAAACTGCTCATTCACGTGTCACTGTGATACTCCTGGATGTGACTCATATACAGGACAATGTATCGTTTCCGGATGTGTGGCCGGTTGGAAGGGAGAGTCCTGTAGCACAAGTAAGTTAAGAGTATATTTGAAGATTTCCATGTTATTTATTTTGTATTTTTTAAAATAAAAACGTCATTTGGCAATCTTTATGTTGAAATAGTGTTTTATGCAATAAGCCAACAAAGCTATAACATATATGATTTATATGTATGCCAAGTCAACAGCAACAGACGATTTGATTGTTTTACAATGATAACCATTTACGGAAAATGGATAAAAGCTCTCCTTTGATTTTCAGTGGTTGGTTTGAAATATCTTGCTGGATTGCCCTTTAGAGCAAAACTACTTCTAAAGGCAACAGCTATGTTCGGTCCAAACTTAAAAAAATATGAAAGGTTATATGACATGCACACAAGTTACATTAAGTATGTATGTCTATTTCAGCTTGTTCTTCAGTTACATTTGGAGAGAACTGCGCCGAGGAATGTCATTGTAAGACGCCCGGATGTAACGGAGTGACCGGACACTGTAACACGCCAGGATGCCAGGCTGGTTACCATGGGAGTAGTTGTAGTCAAGGTTGGTCACAGTTTTTGAAATCATTGTCATGTATGATACTAATTCGGGTGTAAATCTCAACAAACATTTCGCAGTACGCATACATATATCAGATTAATAAAAATCCTTCAGCATAAGTTAATTATTATCTCATTTACTTACAGGTTGTTCGATCACAACATTTGGAGAAAACTGCTCTTTCACGTGTCACTGTGATACTCCTGACTGTAACTCAGTAACAGGTCACTGTAAACCGCCCAGGTGTGCAGTCGGCTGGAAAGGGGATTCCTGTAATATAAGTAAGTTTTAGATTTTGGAGGATTTCAATGTAGATTTTATTTTAAAACAAACTGTTTGTAGCAATCATTAGTAATAGTGTAATAAATCAATATAGTTATTTGATATGAAATGTCAGACGGATTAGAAAACAGGCCTACGGCTTTTATAAGTAATATCCCTGATAGTTATACATGTACTTGTTTTTGTTCCTCTCAAACATTTTAGGAAACTTTTGAATGAAATGTTTTCCTCAATTATAATGAACTTTATAATAATCAATAGTTGACTTTATCGATTTGATACTTGAGTCTAAGAAATTGCATCAACAGAGGAGTTAATTGGGAGTTGAAAGAATGTGAAAACACCTTTTACTATAGTCCTTTTCTGTATTAGGTTGTTCCGAGGGAATGTTCGGCAAGGGATGTAACAATCGATGTAACTGCGCTGTACCCGGATGTAACAAAGCAGATGGCACTTGTACAAACACAGTTGCAGGATGTCTGGATGGCTGGAATGGTTCTTCCTGTAGCCAAGGTAAATAAGGTCCATTTGACTGAAAATCTGAAATTTAATTATTACAACTCAATAGAATCGCAGCAAAGGTAAAACTACGGAATTCGATTAGATCTAAGTCAGTGGAAAAACGGTGCATTTAGTTTAAGCTCTGTATTTAATTATTAGTACTCACTTAAATCGCAGGCAGTACAAATATTTAATGCTACTTTTAATTTGAATTTGTTTTAGAATGTGTTGCCCCGTATTTTGGAAATAAGTGCGCATCACAATGTAGATGTAAAACAGTTGGTTGTAACAATGTCGATGGAGTATGCACAGAACCCGGATGTCAACCTGGGTGGATGGGGACTTCATGCTCAATTCGTAAGTACATATATATATTGCTAATTATTCTTCATTGATATTACATGTAACTTTAACGTTTAAATCTAGGGTGTCGGTTGAATTTTTATTATGCAAATGTAATTGCATTATGCTTACTTGAAGAATGCCCCGAAAATATGTTTGGTGAAGACTGTCTCCTCACGTGTCATTGTAAGACACCCGGATGTAACCGCTTCAATGGGACCTGTCTTTCATCTGATGGATGCAGCGACGAATACATTGGTAACTCGTGCAGTACAGGTAAGAATTATCGCATTTATTTCATCTCAGTACTGATATATAGGGACTCAGATGATGAGAACATGTTTTGTTTGTATAAGCAAGAGACTGGATCTTTGATAACAAAATGACCAGCTAGGAAGGCTTACTATTAAGCTGCAGGACAAAGGTGGTTATTCCAATTTCGATCGTCACCATTTTGATCTCTTTAGTAAAATGCATTTTTCTTGTGTGATATGAAAGTCAAAAGGTTTTGAATATGCTGAATAATGCGCATTCATGTTTCGTTGTCACTGCCTCGATTGTCTATTTGGTCACATGAAATTAATTTGATTGCGGCTAGATTTACATTGGGGTGTCGTTGATTTAGCAAAGAACGCTTGTCCCTCCCTAACCCCTGTACTTATTCAAAGGTCTACAGGAAACAAATGCTTATATTAATATTTTGCCCTAGTTTGAACGATTTTGAGTTCAAATTATGGCTTGGTTGTCACTTCGGTATTCTCTTTTCTTTTGCTTTTTTAATCGACAATTTTGTGTATTTTTTATTGTTATTGTTTCGATAACATACATTAAGGTATTCATTAAGTCTTTATAACATTAGGGTGATTATATTATGATTACAATAATTCATAATGATGACCTGATACGTGAAAAATATCTTCTGCATAAATTATCTATTCAATATGCATTTCAGTCAATATGATGTTTGATGATCAGGAGCGAAACACATTGCTTTGCTTACTCATTCAAATCTGTTGTAAAGATTTCGTATTACAATTTCTTATTGTAATATTTTTATCTATAAAACACAAACCGTGGTAACTTTCATACAATTGGGTTGTTATAAAAGTGTATCTCATGATTTTGTTCAATAATAAAATCCTTACTGTTAAAATTCAATTGTAAAAAGTTGGTAGAGTTGTTTTGTCGTTATTGTAATGAATGTAAAAACATTTAATGCTAATGATGTTTTGCTGCTCTAATACAAGAATGCGACGACGGTTTCTTTGGGCCATCCTGTGTTCCCTGTTCTACTGGTTGTTCCGATCCTGCCTGCAACAAAATCACTGGGAAATGCAGTAAGTGCGAATGATGATATTTTGACAGGGAACATGCTTGGGTGAATGGGTTCTCAGTTGTTTTAGAAAACAACTTCCTTTCAACAACACGAACGCCCAGGATGATGATGATATTTGGCCGATAACATGCTTTGATGAAAGACTTCGCAGTTTGTTTAAATAAATAACTTTACTTATAATCAGGATCACAAGGGTCAAATATGTATAACCAACTTGGCTGAGGTTATGATATTTGGCAAGAAGCAGTTGGGATAATGGATTACCAAGTTTGATCAAATGAACGATATTCATCCACTTGGCTAGTATAACAATAACATTGGTATCATAAGAACAATGTACATTTTCTTTCAAGTTTCTTTTTAGTTATTTCAGTTTTACAGTGTTTTTGAGATTATTACAGGAGGACGCATCAGTTTACATTACTATTAGCTCACCTGGTCCGAAGGACCAAGGTGAGCTTATGCCATACCGTGGCGTCCGTCGTCTGTCTTCCGTCCGTCTTCAATCCGTCCGTCCGTCGCACGTACGTAAACAATTTCTTCAAACGACTTCTTCTTCTTAACCACTGATTATAATTTAACTAAATTTGACTGGAAGCATCCCTAGGTGGTGGGGATTCAAAATAGTACAAATGGTAGTGTTAACCCCCAGGGGGCTGAGGAGCGGGGCTAAAAGGGGTCAATTTGTCTATATTGCTATACACGACTTCTTCTGTAGATCTGTGCAATGGTTATCAACCATATTTTACTGGAAGCATCCATTGGTGGTGGGGATTCAAAATTGTACAAATGGTAGTGTTAACCCCCAAGGGGGCTGAGGGGGAGGGCCAAAAGGGGACAATTTGGCTATATTGCTATAAATAACTTCTTCTGTAGAACTGTGCAATGGATATCAACCATATTTTACTGGAAGTATCCCTAGGTAGTGGGAATTCAAAATTGTACACATTGTAGGGCTGACCCCCAGGGAGCTGAGGGCGGGGCAAAAAAGGTTCAATTTGGCTATATTTCCTTAAGCGACTTCTCCTCTTGAACTTAAAGATGGATATCAACCATATTTTACTGGAAGCATCCCTAGGTAGTGGCGATTCCAAATTGTACAAATGGTGGGGCTGACCCCCCAGGGGGCTGAGGGCGGGGCCAAAAGGTTATTTGGCTTATTGCTTTAGGCGACTTTTTCTCTACAACTGAAAGATGGACATAAGCCATATTTGACTGGAAGCATTCCTAGGTAATGGGGATTCAAAATTGTACAAATGGTGGGGCTGACTCCCCAGGGGGCTAAGGGCGGGGCCAAAAGGGGGAAATTTGGCTAAATTGCTATAACGACTTCTTCTGTAGACCTATGCACTGGATATCAATCGTATTTGGTTGGAAGCATTCATGGAAGCGAGGGATTCAAATTGTACAAGTAGTGGGGCTGACCCCCATGGCTCAAAGATGGGGCCGAAAATAGTTTATTGCTTGGAAATGGTTGAGATCCCCATCCTTAAACCAAATATACAAATGCTGAGAATGAAGAGAAGAATGCACATACGTTTCCGGGATTGCCCTGGGGTCTGGCCCCACCATTGGAGACATAGTCCCTGGGTCATAACTTTGAAACGGTTAAGATCCCCACCCAAACACTGTATTTACAAATGATGGGCATAAAGAGACGAATGCAGTCATGATATAAGAATTGATTCCAGAGTCTGACCCACCCTTGGAGACTTAACCCCTGGGTCATAACTTTAAAACGGTTAAGATTCCAACCCCAAAACCATATATACAATTGTTGGGCATAAAGAGACGAATGCATTCATGATATTAGAATTGACCCCGGGGTCTGTCCCACCCTCGCCGACTTAACCTCTGGGTCATAACTTTGAAACAGTTGAGATCCCCACCCTAAACCAAAATATATACAAAAGCTGGGAAAAAGGGACAAATGCACTCATGATATTATAATTGATCCTGGGGTCTGGCCACAACCATAGGGACCTAGTTTCTTAGTCACAGCTTGGAAACAGTTGAGATCCCCACCCCATAACCATACATAAAATTGCTGGGCATGAAAATTCTAATACAGATAGGATACAAGGATTGTCCTTGGGGTCTGGCCCATTCCTATGGATCTTTTTTGGATCTTTTTTTGCCATGATTACTTTGATATCCAGGTGAGCGATACTGGCTCTCTAGGCCTCTTGTTTTCGTTATGTGTTAAAAATCAATTGCTCACAAATACCATAAAAGTAGCACGTAAGTGCTTTCAATGAAAATGTTTTGACCTACCTAACCCTGCTTAAGTGCAAAAAATAAATAAATAAATATATAAAGCAAGCGATATATACATCTGATTTTCCCTTCAAGTTGATTTTTTTACAACATAAAGGTAGCAGTGCAAACATTCTCTGTCATTGCAATGCTGTGCATTTGACACAAAAGGAATTGGAATATTTGAATTAGAAATGCTTTAAAACATTTTCATATATTTAAACCGGGTGTTAAACAAATGAAAGTAAGACATTTCACATTTTGTTAAAGATCTTTGAGCACTAAGTCTTTGAAGTTAACTAATATGCTATATTTTTGTAGGTTGTAAAGATGGTTATCATGGAAATGACTGCAGTCAGTTGTGTTCATCCAAGTGTAAAGAAAGCACGTGTGTTAAGGAAAATGGGTTCTGTACAGGTATTTAAAGAGGTCATTTACACATTTTGTTTTTAAATTTTAATCTTTGCTCATTCAGTATAAGCAATCTGAACGGTTCTATACTGTTTTTGTTTTAAATAAGTCAATCCTTTTATCAGAATCATATTTCGTTTTTACATTTTTATCATTAATAATGGGTAAAACGTCGTTTACAGCATTTCATTTATTTGATGGTACTTTCAGGCTGTGATCAAGGATTCCATGGCAATGACTGTCTTGATCGGTGTCCGGTCAACTGTAACTCAAGCATGTGTTTCCAGGATAGTGGATTTTGTACAGGTTTGTAAAACGTTTAAATTTATCACTCATTTAATGAGCGTTATCTCCTCGGATGCCTTATTGTGTTAATGTAAATCAATTACTAAATAAGACTATAAAGGAACCATACATGTACGTATCAGTCTTACCTTACGTTGTATGTAAAATGAAAGGCTTGACGAAATAAGTCCGAGGAACACTAACGTTTGTCAAACCCTTATTCAGCTTCTTTGATTCAGTTAATTAACTACACTATTATATATACTATTGAAGGACTATTTTCGCGAATCAGGTATACAATATCCGCAAATCATTGGCGGATTGGCCAAATGGTAAATACTCCGGCATTTCACGCAGGTGGCCGAGGTTCTATCCTCAAAATTGTCGGTCGTACGTATGAAATATTCATAGCAAGTGTAGACGACATGTACACTAGATATTTTAAGTGGTTTTACATCAGTAGACCATAGGGTCAAGTTATATTGGATGGCCCAATGACGTTAAGAAAACAGATCCTGTTGAGCGAATCACGTTGGCCAAGTGAGATTTTTTCATCAACTTCTTCAATCACTGCATCGGACGTGTGCACTATTTCATACGGTCTTCACTCCCATTTTATATTATCGGAGCGAGCATACATAAGTCAGATATGTTGTATTAAGAAAGAAAATATCGCTTTCTAAACACCATGTCGAAGTGCAAATTTTCGGTCTTTCGTTCAGTAGCTTTAAATGAAAAGTCAAGACATGTTATTTAGCGTTGAATTTGTGCAGTTTTTAGATCAGGAAATCGTTTAGAACGTTGTCGACGGTCGCTTCTATTAAGTGCCTATCTTCGACAACACATGTTACGTTACACGACGTAGACACCTATGCTATGTTTTCTCCTGTTTTATTTCAAAAAGTTTGTCGTTGGGATCATACTATAAATTTGTACTTTTTCAGTGAAACGTATTAGAATACATTATTTGAAATTTGTGATCTTTTAATTTTCCACCTCATAATGCACCTATAACAGTGTATTCAATCTCAACGGTATGATTATTAATATTGCAACACTGAGGTGATTTTATTGGATTTGTTTGTTACATTTTGGAATTGATTTAAAGTGTTTATTAGAAATGTTTTTTTAAGTTAAAAATAAACTAACATTTTATCATTGACAATCAAAGAAATTAGATCAAAAATGTTTATCTCTCATGAGTAATACCTTGGTGTGAGTTTTCAGCATATCTATTTTAAAACTTTACAAACATAAATCAAATAGTCCTTGAACTAAGTTAATCAAATACTCTTTTGACTATTGTCAAACATCAAGTTTCAAAGCATTGCATCTGAAAATAACTTAAATATTAAATGCTGGGACTTGATAGGACCCTGCCCGCCCAGGGTCGACAGGGTCGAGAACGTATGGCTGCTTTTAAAATCAATTTGTTATTAAAATCGAAGCTGGCTTCTTTATTGCTTGTGACTTTCTGGGCAAGCGTAAGACTCCACGCATCTGTATTGGCAAATGGCAGACACAATCAAACATATTCTTATTCGAGGGATATAAATCTTAGGTGAATTTCGGGGAATCGACTTACACTGCATGAAGAAATCGAAGCAGTATCAATACAGCTATAAAGACAGATAATTAGATCTGCATACTGTGCAAGAAAAGTGGTGATTATGACGCCAAAAGTATAATGATCGTATGCTTCATTTGTGACTTTATTTGTTTTTAAGAATTATTCCTCTCTTTTGATATGCTTATCTTTTACAGTTTTCAAAAAATAATAATGTTACAGCATGATGTAGTTTACCATTATTGTTGGAGTATCAATTTGATAGTGATTATCATGTAATAACCACGCCAGATAAAATCATATCATATTCAAATCAAAATATTGAACATTAACATTGCATTTTACTATTGTTTATGCTTGCTACTACTTTAGTTATATTATGTATACAGTCCTTAATTAAAATGTTGCTATTGTAACAGTAGCGAGTTGGGCCAAATTATTTTAATTGTAATCTACATAAATGTACTGTATAGCGGGAAATTTTCCACCCAGTCAAACATTTCCCCTTCTAACCGTTCGCCCTTCGCTAATAAAATAAACTTTCGCGCGGCGTTCATTTCGCCCTTTACATTTGATTATGATGTATATTTTACTATTTATCTATATTCACTGAAATGACAAAAATCATCCTCATCACGGAAGGATAAAAAGGCTAAAAACCAACTGCAGAGAAAATTTCCCGGTTAACAGTAAGTAGAGACCATTATGAAGTTTGCCCATTCAGGATTAAATTGATAGAAAGAATAACATTCACGCTGCCAATCCTTCAGTTCCATGGACACTTTGATACTTATTAGGTTGCGAACCTGGATATTATGGTGCTATATGTGACAAGGCCTGTAAATCTAGCAGCTGTAAAGACAACATATGCAACAAGACTGGTGGTGACTGTGTTGGTATGTAACAACGTAATACATTGTATAAACTAATACAGCAAATCCGATTCTTGTTGGTGTTTAACAATAAAACTTGCTGTCCATCCTTGTTTATCTTTAGCTTTAGTTCCGTGCTTAATTCCAAAAAGTATTTGACACAATTTACTTTTTTTCCGGCTTTCACCGAAACGGGGATATTAACTTGGGTTTGTCCGTCTGTCAGTCTGTCTGTCTGTCACGCTTCGTTTCTGTGCAATAACTGCAACACATGTAAACCGATTTTCTTCAAACTTGGTTCCAGGGTCAAATGCCTTAGGGCCCCCTAAATAACGAAAAATGTCATTATCTGTTGTTTCTTTTCATTAACTCTCGCAAATATTATCCGACTGTCTTCAGTTTTGTCGGTAGACTGCATTTAAAATACACTTTAAAGATCTGCACCAACACGACATTGTCTATTCTGTTACAGTAGGTTGTCACAATGGGAACACAAACAAAGGGTTTTGGTTAGCTGCTAGACAGTATTCGTGAGAAATGACCCGTGAAATAAGTCAATCGCCTGATGAAAAGACCTCGTTAGAAATCTGCGGAAGTTACCCGTACCCTGTCACTGTTACTATATAGTAATCTCCGGCAGTTACCGTACCCTGTCACTGTTACTTTATAGTAATCTCCGGCAGTTACCGTACCCTGTCACTGTTACTTTATAGTAATCTCCGGCAGTTACCGTACCCTGCCACTGTTACTATATAGTAATCTCCGGCAGTTACCGTACCCTGCCACTGTTACTATATATTTATCTCCGGCAGTTACCGTACCCTGTCACTGTTACTTTATAGTAATCTCCGGCAGTTACCGTACCATGTCACTGTTACTTTATAGTAATCTCCGGCAGTAACCGTACGCTGTCACTGTTTTACTACTGGTCACAGGGGTTTGTATGTAGCAAATCAGAGAGTGGTAAAACTGGTTAAAGTCAGTCATAGTGGAAAACAGAGCAGTGACGGATCCAGAGGTTTTTGGGGCTTCAAGACCTCCCGCCCCCCTCAACAGTTATGGCCCCTTGCTTAACAAAAACGTCATCATATGCAGTTTCCGCTTAATTACTCTAGCAAATATTAGCCCAATTCCTTTCAAACTTAACAATGTTTGTATTCCTCTGTCTTTCCACCCATCTCGGGCACTCTTTGGTTTTCGTGGGATAATTGCTGTAGATATTGTGCAGATATTTCAACCAAATTTCGTTGGCACATCCGACTCATGCTTAGTTTGCCAACCGATGTGCTTTATGCATATTTACGGATAATTAATGAGGTTAGTACATACTCATGGATAAGCTTGTCGCTCCAAAAGCATTTCAGAAATTCCGTTGTCGGAGATTATCTCGGAATGATAAAAAATATTTCTGTAATTTGACATGGTTATGCACTGTGATTATTTAAAACGGATTCAAAAAGTTCCTAATGCCAAGTTCAAGGTCATTGTTCTAAAAATAGACCATGTGTGTTGCAGTCTCTATCTAAGAATCCAAAAGACAAAACACCGATTTTTGACAGTACGAACCTCGTTACTCAATTGTATGATTTAAACTCAAGTATTCACATTATAGAGTGTGCCCCTGGACTGTATGGTGCTGCCTGTGACCAAATTTGTCCGGATAACTGTAATGAAGAGTGTGATAGAATTACCGGAGTATGCAACGGTACGTTAAAATACAATTTGCTCTAAAAGAAATGGGTGATTAATGTGGTATATAAACACAGTTTAGTTGCCTTTAACATAATTTTACTTAATCGGCAAAACAATGGGATCATGGTCATTGAAAAGTTTGTTATGCGATGCTATATACCATAACTAATATATAAAACTGACCTTTGAACCAAGAGACTAGAGCGATTTACTTTTTGACATCTTCAACAACGTATCGTGCGATGTGACAACATGCAGTGTCATTTATGTTTTTAGATTGTAAAGCTGGATATTACGATGACTATTGTGTTAAAAGGTGTCCGCAAAAATGTAAGGTGGATATTTGTAGTCAGCATTACGGGCACTGTAAAGGTGAGTATATTATTTCAAAACCTATTACCGTAATAAAGTTAATTAACAGCTTTCAGCTGCATTTTAACTTTTATTTACGTTTAATTGCGAAACAGGATTTTAAATAGTTATTAGTATGATTTATATTGTTATTGGTTTTGTAAAGATATACTATTTCGTACATGCATTTTACTGTTAATTAATTTAACCCTACCAAATGACTCTTATCCAGAAATCACTTACATATAATCAGCCCGCGGATTTTTCGTCCAAAGCTAACATATTCAGATCAATGGGCATAAATTAAACAAAAGTTACCAAATCTTTCATATTTCTGAGTTACTGCTTCCTGTCTATTGTAATGATATGTCAAATTAGGTTTGAACATTATATAGTTCAAGGAATTTAATGAAGGATCTTATCAATGTTTTTAGTTATAATGACCTAATGACCGCCTGTCGTACTTTGGTTATTTATATATCAATTATCTGTATTGCTAAACTTATTTTAATTGACGTTTGGCAAGAATTTTCTTGTACGGAGTTCTACAAAGTTTGTGAAAACCACTGACCTTGACCCATATTCAAAGTCATTTTGGTGTAATGTGTTAAATCACTTCTGAACAATTTCTTCTGAATAACAGAAGATCAAGAGTCATGATATTGGAAGGAACTAGATTGCATAGAGTGCTACAAAGTTTACAAAAAAATGACATTGACCTTGATTCAAGGTCATGGGATCAGTTGAATCACTCAGATATCTGCTTCTGAAGAATGGAAAGACTCCTGTGAGGAAGGCTTTGGGTTCTGTCCCCTGGCCGAGACATACCAAAGTCTTTAAAAATTGGTAGTCTCTACTCCTGCTTAACGCTCAGCAAATTAGGAGTGGGACGACTGGTTCGCCCGTTGTCAGTATAATGTGACCGGGTGGGGCGTCCTGCTGAGTGTTTTCGGCAGTATGTAGCACTATAAAGCCGGCATCAGTTCCGCGCTATCACAAGGAGACAAACACGAATATATCGCAGCCTCCCAAAACACACACGCATACACTACACGTATGCATCTTGCACACAGGGGAGGCCATCCTTAAATGACCATAGCTGTTGGTAGGACATTAAACAATACTAAACCAAACCAAACCAAACTTAATACAATACAATAAGAAATATACTGGAGCTATATTCAAGGCACATGTATCTAATATCTAAAAACAAAAACTCACTCAAACGACTTCTTTTGAATAGCTTTAAGGTGTAGAGTCATACAATATTTGGTTAGTAGCTTGCTGACATGGAGGATACAACGTTTAAGAAACGTCACAAGGACAGAATTTGTCAAAACACATCAAAGACTTCTTTTGTATATTTTTTTTTTACTAGCGTCACGAGTTTAAGCAAGTAACGCCAGATTAAAATTTGTTAAAATGTACGATTGTATTCTTTTGAGTGACCAAAAGACCTACAGTCATGATGTTGTCCCGTAGCTTACTGTCATGGCGTGTTTCAACTTCGTGAACAGAATTATCTCTGATCGAAATTCAATGTCACATGGGTCAGAATTTTCAGTTCAACAAAATGACTTCTTCTGAAAATGTGAAAGGTCAGAAATCATATTTGATTTGTAACATTCTGGTATTCAGTGCTTAAACTTTTGAGAAAAGAATTCACTTTGACCTACATTCACCTTGGGTAAAATTTGTTTCATCACTCAATACAACTTGATACCAAAAAACCAAAATGTTTTGTCCAAATATGTAGCTCAATTTCCTGAGATACTACAAATTGATTGAAAATATATGACTTTGGCATATATTCAAGGTCACATGAGTTAAATTTATTTCAACACTCAGACAACTTGATACCTATAAACCAAAATGCTTTGTCATAATATTTGGCCTGAAGCTCACTAACCTGAGGTGTTACGAAAGATCCTGACCTTTATTTAAGGTCACAAGGGTACATTCTGTCAGACACTTAAACATCTTTTCAACAAAAAGGGAAAAAGTCTGACATTTGGCGAGTAATTTGTTGTCATAAAGTGCTACACAATCGTACTTTCACTTATATTAAAGAAAGAATTCAAGGTCACATAAATCGAATTCGTTAAAATATCAGAACGACTTTCTCTTAAAGAACCAAAAGGTCTAAAGTAATACTATTTGACAAGAAGATATCTGGCAACTAGTACCTCATATATTTGAAAAAAAGAAGAAATGATAATGACATGTAGATAATGTCAGTGGGGTCAAATTTGCTAAAATGACATCTGGAGAACAAAAAAAAACCGACTTTGACATCTATCTAAGGAAGGTTAAAAGGGTCAGGCTCCACTTGTATAAAATATCTCAACTCTTAAGATTTCCGCATGTATAAGATTTCCCATAGACAATACATTGCTTAAGATTTTCCTCTACTTTGATACGTTTTATATAAGGACATGTATATTAAAATACTCGAATGCTTATTATAAAGATAATTTAGCCAGAAGCTTGATGGCATGCAGTGCTCTTGCTAGAAATGTGTTGGGCTACATGTTGTTTAACAAAATAGTATTTATAAGACACAATTAATAGTTAGAATACTGATTATAACAGCAATGATAAAATAACCCTAACACGAATATAAAACAGTACTTCTTTAAAGTTAAAATTTCACCTCTGGGGTAGTTCTCAGTCATATCGTGATGGAAAAAAACCCCATACAATGCATACAAGGTGTGATGAATAAATGACATGGGCAACATCATCCAGGCACAAAATGTTATTGTTTTCTCGTCACGTTTCAGAATGCCAAGATAGACACTACGGTGACCATTGTGATAAAATTTGTCCAGACGACTGCGAGGACCACATCTGTATCCAGACCAATGGGCAATGTCCAGGTTAGTACGTACATAGGAATCTAATGGCCGATCCTTTTTTTGTAACTATGTTGCTGTTTTCTCTTTTTGAATAATTTCCATATGATGCAGATGGTAATGAACGATTTTTTGGTAAAAAATCTTTGCATTTTAGTTAATCAAGAACAGTGGTATTGACATAAATAACGGAAAATGATATATTAAATGTTTACAAATACAGTTAAATTATTTCATTATATAATATTTTAAACAGATATAAAACTGATTTTGAATATCTAGTTAAAAGACATTTTTTTTATTCTTTTACATCCACAGGCAACTGCGATGCTCCATGGGGGCTATTCATTACATTAGGAGTGGTGATGGTGTTCCTCTTGGTTTACATGTGCATAAGTAAGAACAACAAAAAAGCACCAAGAGTACTAAGATGACTGGTGTTGGCAGATATTTACATTTTCGTGTTTCTGTTATTTTTGTAATGTTATTATCCCCCGCTTTCACCGAAACAGGGGATATTAATTTGGATTTGTCTGTCTGTCTGTCTGTCTAGCTGTCTGTTCCAGTGGACCCAATTTGCTGGAGTTATTGCCCCTTTAATAATGAAAAACGTCATTATCTGCCGCGCTTTGTTTCCGTGCAATAACTACAACAAATGTAAACCGATTTTCTTCAAACTTAGTCAAAAGGTTAAATGCCTTAAGGGCTCGGCCAAGTTTGATGACCACTTTAATCGGTCTCCATTTGGCAAAGTTATGGCCCCCTGTTTAACGAAAAACGTGAAAATCTGCAGTTTCCGCTTAATAACTCTTGCAGATGATAGCCAAATTCCTTCCAACTTGATAACAATGTTTGTGTTCCTCTGTCTTTCCATCCATCTCGGGCACTTTTTGGTTTTCATGTGATAATTGCTGTTATATTGTGATTTGTGCATATTTACGGATAATCAATGAGGTAAAGGTTTTGTTTTGTTTCTTTAAGTTTCAAGCTTTACATCATGTCTCACCAGCACGATACTGACATGTTTAAACCTTCAATTTGTCCTGCAAGCGGGGGATATAAATTCCACGAATTCGCTTGTTTAACTTTTAGTTGTATTTTCATCTATGTGGATTATAAGCACACTTTGCATGATAATGTATAGTCCTTGTTGTAAATCAAGTGTCGTCAAAAACTTTTCAATAATCTACGTGTTTTTTTTCTAGCAATTCCAAAAAATGGCATGTGTGTATAGCAATCCTTAGTACCGGTGAAATATCTTTTAACCATGACATGATGTTCAACAATTGTTAAATATCTCTACAACAATGTACGTCTTATTCTGTAAAATAACTCTTTCTTTCTGTATCTTAGTATAATATAATGCATCATAGTCCTTACAAATTCTGGAGCTTGTGCAAGTCTACGTATTGATGTAATGTAAAAAAAAAAATGTAGACCGTCATTGAAGGACACTTAGTTTAATACAGCCCAATTATGAGGAAAAAATATGTTTAGACGCGCTGGGCAGGCTCAGCTGCGAGTTTACGGCAGCCATCTTTTCACTAGCTCGAAGTGGTGGAGAGCGGCTAAACGAGGTTCTACATTATGCATCTTCTAGAATGTGAAGCTACAGTAATTGAATGTTGAATTAGATAGAAAACCAGATGTACTTTGATATGGCAATTTGCTGTTCGACTACATTTCATATATGGCGGTACCACATGGATGTTTGATTCACGTTGTTTTCGATTTTGTACTGGGGGTTGACACTGACATAAGAGGCAGAATGGGTAGCTGGAGGGAGAATTGTAGGGCAGTATATGACTTGTCACTATTGCTAGCAAAAGCTGATATTATCTTGCTGATTGCTTTTTTTTGGTTGCTTAACATTTTTTATACCGTGGTGCGGTGTCCGTCGTCCGTCCGTCGGCCGTCGTCTGGCGTCAATATTTTACTTGAAATAACTTCTTCTTAATTACCAAAAGTAACGTAACGGTAAAAATTGACAGACTTTGAAGTCGGGCGTCTCTCCTTTGTAATCTTCAAAGGACAGGTATCAGCCTAGCGATTGGTCAGAGTTTTTTTTACCTGAGACAAATCAAACAGCTATCTTCATGACATGACATATTCCAGGGGTGTAGAGAGCGAAAGTAAGCGTAACCCCAAGCTATCAAGGATGAGGGTATTTGGCAAAAGGCCCATGATGATGATATTTGGCCAGTATCATGCTTGGATGAAGGGTAACAAAGTCTGTCCAAACAAATGACCTTCACCCATTTTCAAGGTCACAGGGGTCAAATATGTTTAAAAACTTTAACAACTTCTCCTGAAAACCAAAAAGGCCTAGGATAATGATATTTGACCAGTATCATGCTGGGATGAAGGGCTACCAAGTTTGTTCAAACGAATGACATTTACCCATTTTCAAGGGCACAGGGGTCAAATATGTTTAAAAACTTTAACAACTTCTCCTGAATACCAAAAAGGCCTAGGATAATGATATTTGACCAGTATCATGCTTGGATAAAGGGCTACCAAGTTTGTTCAAACGAATGACATTTACCCATTTTTAAGGGCACAGGGGTCAAACATAATAAAAACTTTTAAACAACTTCTCAATAACAAAAAGGCCTATGATGACAAGGTCACAAGGATCAAATATGTTTAAAATCTTTAAACAACTCCTGGATAATCAAAATTGGCAGGATAATAATATATCTGGCCTGTAACATGATGGGATGAAGGGCTGACAAGTTTGTTCAAATTAATGACCTTGACATTTATTCAAGGTCACAAGGGTCTAATATGTTTAAAACCTTTAAACAACTTCTTCTGAATAACCAAGAGGCATAGGGTGATGCTGCTTGGTCAGTAACATGCTGAAATGAAGGGCTATCAAGTTTGTTCAAATAAATGACCTTGACTTGTATTCAAGGTCACAGGGGTCAAATATATTTAAAATCTTTAAATAACTCCTTCTGAATAACCAAAAGGCATATGATTATGATATTGGCCCAGTAACATGCTTGGATGAAGGGCTATCGAGTTTGTTCAAATTAATGACCTTTATCCATAGTCAAGGTTACAGGGGTCAACAATGTTAAAATCGTTATACAATTTCTTCTGGATAACCAAAATTGGCAGGATAATGATATCTGGCCTGTAACATGATGGGATGAAGGGCTGACAAGTTTGTTCAAATCAATGACCTTGACATTTATTGAAGGTCACAGGGGTCTTATGTGTTTAAAACCTTTAAACAACTTCTTCTGAATAACCAAAAGGCATAGGATTATGATATTGGGCCAGTAACATGCTGAAATGAAGGGCTATCAAGTTTGTTCAAATGAATGACCTTGCATCATATTCAAGGTCACTGGGGTCAAATATGTTAAAAACATTTAAATAATTTCTTCTGAATAACCAAGGGGCATAGGGTGATGACATTTGGCCATTAACATGCTGGGATGAAGGACTATAAAGTTTGTTCAAATGAAAGACCTTCGTGCATATTCAAGGTCACAGTGGTCAATATATGTTTAAATCTTTAAATGATTTGTTCTGTATAACCAAAAATCCAAGATATTGATATTTTGCTAGAAGCATAATGGGTTGGAAGACTAAAACTCTGCTCAACATAATGTCGTTGTTCGACATTCAAGGTCATGGGCGTCATATGTTTAAATCTTTTGATAGGTTCTTAATAATCAAACACTGATGTTCCTTTAAGATTACGAGTGTGAGATTAATACCAGGTGAGTGATTCAGGCCCATTGGTCCTCTTGTATTATATAATCTCATGCGTTCTGATAATTATATCTATTTCATAGCTCTATTAATTAAAAGCCGCTTAAGAGAGTAGTTATTTTTAGCTCACCTGGCCCGAAGGGCCAAGTGAGCTTATCCCATGGCGCAGCGTCCGTCGTCCGTCAACTTTTCCCTTTAAAACGCTACTTGTCCTGAACGGCTAAGAGGATTTTGACCAAATTTGGTCTGGAGGAGCATCATTGGCCAAAGGGTTCTCAGTTTTGTATAAACAGAGGGTATAGTCCTCCTGAGGGCAGAGGGGCGGGCCAAATAGGGGCCAAATATGTAAATCTTTAAAAATCTTCTTCTTCTCAACCAATATAAGGATTTTGACCAAATATGTCCTAGAGCATTTTTAGAAAAAGGAGACTCAAGTTTGTAAAAACGGAGGTTGTGGCCCCTCTGGGGGCCGAGGGGCGAGGCCCAATACAGGAATAAGAGGATTTTTTTCTCTCCTTCTATACAAGTGAAGGGATTTAAATTAAATGCAGTCTGAAGCATGATTAGGGACAAAAGAATCAATCTTGTATAAACTGAGTGGTGTGGGCCCCCTTCTTTGGGGCAGATGTGTGGGGCCCATTAGGGGCAATAGTGGAAAACATTAAAGATCCTTCTCCTTTTGTACCGATAAATGGATTTTGCCCAAATTTGGTGTGGAGCATCATTGGCTCAAGGGTTCTCAGTTTAGTATAAACGGAGGGTATGGTCCCCCTGGGGGCAGATGGTCGATGCCAAATAGTGAGAAAATAGTTAAATCTTTAAAAATCTTCTTCTCAACCAATAGAAGGATTTTGACCAAATTTGTTTTGGAGCATCTTTGGACAAAGGAGCCACAAGTTTGTATAAACGGAGGGTGTGGCCCCTCTTGGGGCATAGGGGCTTGCCAAATAGGGGAAATAGAGGATTTTTTTCTCTCCTACTATACAAGTGTAGGGATTTAAACCAAATGCAGTCTGAAGCATGCTTAGGGACGAAAGAATCAATTTTGTTTAAACTGAGGTGTGTGGACTCATTGGGGAAATAGAGGAAAACATTAAAGATCCTTCTCCGTCTGTACCGTTGAAGGGATTTTAACTTTTGTTTGTTTGTTTGTTTGATTTTGTTTAACGTCCTATTAACAGCTAAGGTCATTTAAGGACGGCCTCCCCTGGGTGCAAGATGCATGCGTGTAGTGTATGTGTGTGTATATTGGGAGGCTGCGATATGTTCGTGTTTGTCTCCTTGTGATAGCGCGAAACTGATGCCGACTTTATAGTGCTACCTCACTGAAACATTCTGCCGAAGACACCCAGCAGGACGCCCCACCCGGTCACATTATACTGACAACGGGCGAACCAGTCGTCCCACTCCTAATTTGCTGAGCGTTAAGCAGGAGTATAAACTACCATTTTTAAAGACTTTGGTATGTCTCGGCCAGGGGACAGAACCCAAAGCCTTCCTCACAGGGGCGAACGCTCAACAAATGGCCAAAAGTGAGGCATTGTCAAGGGAGACATTAGGAAGAAGAAAGTTATTTAGAAAGGAGAGAAGAGATAAGGTCCCAAATTTAGTCGCCTCTTACGATCATGCAATTGGGGGCAGCAGGTACAATTCTTACGCCCTACCTGCAGGGTCCTTAACTAAACTTGTTCTAAAGAATCTGTGGCCAAAGGGAATTGAATATTTATAAATGAAAAATGTGTCTTAAGCATGCTTAGGGAAAAAAACCTCAATTTGTTTAATTTGTATAAAAAGGTGCATATGAGGCCCAATAGGGGAAATAGAGGAAAATTGGGACATAACATGGAAACTCATTTTCTTGGTGTCTTTCCCACCAAAACAGATTTATATGTAGTTCTTTTTTGCAACTTTGTTTCTTGTACTCCTTTGATAAACCTGTTTGGTACTCAACAAGTTTTAAAATGAAAAATAAAATACCAGGTGAGCTATTAAGGCCCCTGGGCCCCTTGTTTAAAATTGTGACATTACCTCGCATTCTAATATACATTAAGCAGGGCATTCTCCAGTAGTAAGAATTTCTCAAGAAATTTTGATTTTTTAATGATGTTACTTTTTCAGGGGCCCGTATCAAGAAATGCTGCAATCAGCAAGGCAATAGAAACAACCGAAGAGAGATGAGTTCATACCTCCATCAAGGGGAAAGGTACAATGTATCATCGAGGTCGGGCATCGATCCGGGTTGCCATAGCAATAGGAACAGGTATTACAATCAGTAAATACCTTCTCTCTTAACAGTACTGTGGAACAGAAAGGAGACAAAACCAGTTTTACCAAAGTTGTTTCTTGTTCAAATACCGGGTCTTTTTTCTCAAAATTCCTTAGAAGATGCATGACATTACACTTTTTACTCAATATTAGAGGATTGCTAATTGTTTAATCCAATGAAAAATATGAAGATATTTCTCATCAATCACTGTAAGTAGTCATTCAAAGGCCTATAAAAAGAAACACCTGTGATTTTGGTAAACCATCCAAGTAACAGTATATAAAAATTAGCTGCGTATTATGTACGTTTGTATGCCGCTTACAAATGAGTAATGTTAAAGTCAGAGTCTTGTTTTGTTTAATGTAACAATTTTTTTTTTGTTAAATCCTCAAAGGCTTAAACACTTTTACTTGCATGTTTGTTTCGAATGTCACTGGAATCTTAGTCAAAATGGTCACAACCTTAATTTAAACTACTTCTGAATAACCAAGAAGCTTGGGGTTGTTTACTGGTCAGAAGCATACTGGGGAGAAGATCTAGAGCCTTCAGGTTATTTAGCTCATCCGGCCCGAAGGGCCAATTAAACTTGTGCCGTGATGCGGCATCCGTCCGTCCGTCTGTTCGTCGTCAAGATTTTTACTTTAAACAACTGCTTCTTAATAACCAAAAGACCTAGTGTGATGATATTTTACCAGAAGCAAACTGGGATAAATGGCTACCAAGTGTGTTAAAATAAATGCCCTTCACCCATATTTTTGGACACAGGGGTCAAAAATGTTGAAATCTTTAAAAACTTCTTTTGAATAACCAAAAGGTCCAGGGTGATGATATTTGGCCTGTAGCATACTGAGTTGAAGGGCTACCAAGTTTGTTCAAAAGAATGACCTTTTTCCACATTTAAGATAACAGGGGTCAAATATGTTGAAATCTTTAACCGACTTCTTTTGGATAACCGTAATTGGGAGGATAATGATATCTTGCCTGTAACATGATGGGATGAAGGACTGACAAGTTTGTTCAAATTAATGACCTTGACATTTATTCCAGGTCACAGGGGTCTAATATGTTTAAAACCTTTAAACAACTTCTTGTGAATAACCAAAAAGCATAGGATTATGATATTGGGCCAAGAACATGCTGGGATGAAGGGCTATCAAGTTTGTTCAAATAAATGACCTTCATCCTTTGTCAATGTTACAGGGGTCAAATATGTTAAAATCTTTAAACAACTTCTTCTGAATAACCAAGAGGCCTGGAATAATGATATTAGGCCAGTAACATGCTGAAATGAAGGGCTATCAAGTTTGTTCAAATGAATGACCTTGCATCATATTCAAGGTCACTAGGGTCAAATATGATACATACATTTAAACAACTTCTTCTGAATATCCAAGAGGCATAGGGTGATGACATTTGGCCATTAACATGCTGGGATGAAAGGCTAAAAAGTTTGTTCAAATGAAGGACCTTCGCCCATATTCAAGGTCACAGTGGTCAATATATGTTTAAATCTTTAAAGGATTTGTTCTGTTTAACCCAAAATCCAAGGTATTGATATTTTGCTAGAAGCATAATGGGTTGGAAGACTAAAACTCTGCTCAACCTAATGTCGTTGTTCGACATTCAAGGTCATGGGCGTCATATGTTTAAATCTTTTAACAGGTTCTTAATAATCAAACACTGATGTTCTGCCTGTAGTTGTATTTAAGTCCACCTTTAAGATTACAAGTGTGAGATTAATACCAGGTGAGTGATTCAGGCCCATTGGGCCTCTTGTATTATATAATCTCATGCGTTCTGATAATTATATCTATTTTATCGCTCTATTAATTCAAAGCCGCTTAAGAGAGTAGTTATTTTTAGCTCACCTGGTCCGAAAGGCCAAGTGAGCTTAACCCATGGCACAGCGTCCGTCGTCCGTCATCCGGTGTCCCACGTTCGTCGTCCGTCGTCCATCAACTTTTCCCTTTAAAACGCTACTAGTCCTGAACAGCTCAGAGGATATTGATCAAATTTGGTCTGGAGCATCATTGGCCAAAGGGTTCTCAGTTTTGTATAAACGGAGGGTATAGTCCCCATGAGGGCAGAGGGGCGGGGCAAAATAGGGGGAAAATAGGTAAATCTTTAAAAAATTTCATCTTCTCAACCAATATAAGGATTTTTACCAAATATGTCCTAGAGCATCTTTTGACAAAGGAGACTCAAGTTTGTATAAACGGAGGTTGTGGCCCCTCTGGGGCAGAGAGGCGGGGGCCCAATAGAGGAAATAGAGGATTTTTTTTCTCCCACTATACAAGTGAAGGGATTTAAACCAAATGCAGTCTGAAACATGCTTAGGAACAAAAGAATCAATTTTGTTTAAACTGAGGTGTGTGGACTCATTGGGGAAATAGAGGAAAACATTAAAGATCCTTCTCCGTCTGTACCGTTGAAGGGATTTTAACCAAACTTGTTCTAGCGAATCTGTGGTCAAAGGGAATTGAATATTTATAAATGGAAGATGTGTCTGAAGCATGCTTAGGGGAAAAAAAACAATTTGCTTAATTTGTATAGAAAGGTGCATGTGAGGCCCAATATGGGAAATAGAGGAAAATTGGGACATAACATGGAAACTCATTTTCTTGGTGTCTTTCCCACCAAAACAGATTTATATGTAGTTCTTCTTGCAACTTTGTTTCTTGTACTCCTTTGATAAACCTGTTTGGTACTCAGCAGGTTTTAAATTGAAAAATAAAATACCAGGTGAGCTATTAAGGCCCCTGGGCCTCTTGTTTAAAATTGTGACATTACCTCGCATTCTAATATACATTAAGTAGGGTAAGAATTACTCAAGAAATTCAGATTTTTTAATGATGTTACTTTTTCAGGGGCAGTATCCAGGAATGCTGCCATCAGCAAGGCAATAGAAACAACCAAAGAGAGATGAGTTCATACCCCTCTCAAGGGGAAAGGTACAATGTATCATCGAGGTCGGGCATCTATCCGAGTTACCATAGCAATAGTAACAGGTATTTTAATCAGTAAATACCTTCTCTCTTAACAGTACTGTGGAACACAAAGGAGGCAAAACCAGTTTTACCAAAGTTGTTTCTTGTTCAAATACCGGGTCTTTTTTCTCAAAATTCCTTAGAAGATGCATGACATTACACTTTTTACTCAATATTAGAGGATTGCTAATTGTTTAATCCAATGAAAAATATGAAGATATTTCTCATCAATTACTGTAAGTAGTCATTCAAAGGCCTATAAAAAGAAACACCTGTGATTTTGGTAAACCATCCAAGAAACAGTATATTAAAATTAGCTGCGTATTATGTACGTTTGTATGCCGCTTACAAATGAGTAATGTTAAAGTCAGAGTCTTGTTTTGCTTAATGTATCAAACATTTTTTTTTAAGTCCTCAAAGGCTTTAACACTTTTACTTGTATGTTTGTTTCGAATGTCAATGGAATCTTAGTCGAAATGATCACAACCTTAATATAAACTACTTCTTAATAACCAAGAAGCTTGGGGTTGTTTACTGGTCAGAAGCATGCTGGGTAGAAGATCTAGAGCTATCAGGTTATTTAGCTCATCCGGCCCGAAGGGCCAATTAAACGTGTGCCGTGATGCGGCAACCGTCTGTCCGTCCGTCCGTCCGTCCGTCTGTCCGTCGTCAAAAGACCTAGTGTGATGATATTTGACCAGAAGCAAACTGGGATGAATGGCTACCAAGTGTCTTAAAATAAATACCCTTCACCCATATTTTAGGACACAGGGGTCAAATATGTTGAAATCTTTAAAACTTCTTTTGAATAACCAAAAGGTCCAGGGTGATGATATTTGGCCTGTAACATGCTGAGTTGAAGGGCTACAAAGTTTGTTCAAAAGAATGACCCTTTTCCACATTTAAGATAACAGGGATCAAATATGTTGAAATCTTTATCCGACTTCTCTGGATAACCAAAAGGCATAGGATTATGATATCTGGCCTGTAACATGATGGGTTGAAGGGCTACCAAGTTTGTTCAAAAGAATGACCTTTTTTCATATTTAAGATAACATGGGTCAAATATGTTGAAATCTTTAACCGACTTCTTCTAAAAAATCCAATTTGATAGTTTGTTTGTGATGGTTTGTGATCTTTTTAATAAACAAATCGTATAGGGTGGTGATATTTGGGATGAAGGACTATAAAGTTTGTTCAACGTAAAGACCTTGTTCGACTTTTAAGATCACAAGGGTAAAATGTTTTAAAATCTTTTAAATGAATTATACTGATATTTTGTCTGTGTCTCCATTTTATATCACTTTTAAGGTTACAAGTATGGTAGTTATACCAGGTGAGCGATGCAGGCCAATTTGGCTTCTTGTTTTAGACATGAACAGAACTGCATATTGCGTGAGAGTATATAAGACAGGGACCAAACATGTTTTTTGATATTGTAAAAGACATTGAATACATCTTGTTTGTTTATAAGACAAAAGCAACACATATTTTGTTGGATTTGAATTTGACTGTATAAAACGTTTTGACTTTTTTTTCGACTATCATTGCGTTTGCAACTCGTTCAGCTGTGTACAGTGCGAAAAAACTAAGTGTATCGTATTTGTGTTTGTAGGCTATTTTTTGTTACATTATGTAAGTGAAACATGTGTTCAATTCCCGTTAGCCTTATCAAGTATCCCAAGATCTCAATCCCTGTGCTGGTCAAATCTACTCCGAGTTCTGAAAATGATTGATCAGGCTCTGCACCGAAGCCCACAATCTATGTTCACGTCATCATGAAGGCTCTATATTTGATGAGCTCATTGCTGCACAGTATTTTCAATAGCATGATATTAATTAATATTTTCATAAAATTATGATAGTGTGTCAACTGGAACTTCGATGTACGATATAATCAAAGCTCATGTTCCAGTTGACTTTTTTTTAATAAATTTTGTTTGTTCTCGGTTTGGATGTTTGTCATTATGCTCTATATTATTCCCTCCATTCTCTATTATTCATTTCAATATTGAAAATGTTTCCTGGGTACCCTAGCATAGCATTTGTATGATTTTGGTTGTTCTGAACAGACATTTCTCTGTAATGTATCACTTTTTACATTCCATATACATTGTCATATAATTATGTTTAATTTTTTCGCGTATTTATCAGGTGTGTCACGATATTCTATTTCACAATCTCGCTTAAGGATGTACTCTTCTGAGAAGTAAAAACAAATCCTGTATCAAACTTTTCTTATATAGATTTTTGGGAAAAGGGGTTAATGGCATGGTAGAAAATGCAAAAACAATTATATTCGTGTGTTCTTTTTTGTACGAGGATATGTCAAAGATACCAATATATTATATTAAGTGAGGTTTTTTGTTTGACATTCTTGTAAAAAAAGTTCTTTTTCAGGTGCGTATTTGCTTTTAAAATTGATAATTATTTGTTAAATATTACAAAAACCCGTTACATGACATCAATACGACACTTAAACGTGATTTAAACCTCAGAAGAGTACATTCTTGAAAATAATCACAAATGTTATGATTTGATAATGACAGTTTTTACAAAAATGGAAAGATTTCTTGTTTACCTTACTTGTAAGCAGTTTTTATCTTTTGCCTTTTTGCTTTCCTTAATGTATCATTTTCGATTACGCGCCCATGATATATACACCTACGGTTTTAATGCTTGTTTTTGTCAAATTAATTGCTCTGTATTAGGAAAAGTTATGTGTAGGTAGATACCAATGGTTTGATTCAGATGAATTTTCAAACCTGATAACTTTTCATTTTTACTAAAAAAGTAGAGTGTCGTCTACGAGCATCTTAATCTTTCCTGCATTTGACCCGGGAGTGTTATTCCTTTTATTTTGTAAGTTTTTCAGACAGAGCGGGCAGAGAGGTCCGCTTGAATGATGTAGAAAAAGGTGCGAATCGGGCTCCCCTGCTTCGTTGCTCGTGATCTGAGATAAAATCGGTGGCCTTTATTTTTTGTTTTAGCATCTAGAAAAAAGCATTTGTACCCGACTCCTAATTTTTGACCAACTTTAAAATATTCAAGACGTTGATCTATTCCACCACATTCAACCATATCGACGTTTATTTGCTGCTTAAAGAAAATAGTTGCCCTTCAATTTCAAAATCGATGGGATCGATAATATCTTGTATCTTCCAGGAACAAATCCTTCCGATCCGGGTGAATTATATCTGGAAATAGTTTTTCTTATTCTAATTGCAAATGCTTTCGCTATACAATTGTCGTTTCATTAATCGGTATACGCGACTGTTTACCAGTCAACACTCCAAGATATTTTTTAACAAGTTGGGATAATCATCTATATTTTGCATTTAGTTTTGTTAAACGGCACCGGGCACGTTATCATTTATCTGATAAATAAGATATCTGAGTTTTTCATTATATATCGAGTAGTGCCCCGAGTAGTGACGTGTACGGGTTTCCCACAAATGTTTTGGGGAAGCCCCCAAGACTCCGAGTATTTTCTCAAACGTTTCAGCCCTAGAATGTTTATTTTTCATTGTAAATACATTCCTTATTTACTTCATATATATCAGTTCATCTAATTTAATACACATATTTTGCCTTTATTTGAACTATTCGTTGTTAAGTATCTGACTCGGATCGGCCTTGGAAGAAGAAATTGTTGTTTACATTTCTTCTTCCTTGTAACAAACTTATAATATCTACGGCGCTTCAGTGAATATTAGAGATTCGAAACCTTTGTAAATGCAGCAATACTTTAAAGTAATTCCTCCGTACTTAAATATTTTTAATAGCGTCATAGACCAAGAGTTTTTTTGTTAAACCGTATTAGGTCCGGTTTTATAGAATTTGCATCCTTATATACCATATCTGCAGTTTTAATTCTGTGCCATAAAGTTCTTTAGATTTTGTTTTCCAAATCAAAAAACTCTTTTGTTGATCTCTCATGTTCTTCCTACCCCTGGATCCTTGCTTTTATTCTTTGTCTATTTGCTCTATAACTATTGTGGTTTTTTAGAATATCTGTTAATTATTACATTGATATTCTCCTCATTTCTGTTTTGTTACGATTTTTAGATATACTTATAGTCATTTCTTTGAAAATAATCTTGGCAATTTCTCTAGATTCTTTTTTGTCATTAAAATAAGTCTTTTCCCCAATCCTGTCTCTCAAATAACCTTTAAATGTATTTTCAATACCCTCGCTTGTTATTATACTAACATTCCATAATCCGTGACCGATTAGTATTTTGTCGATTTGAACTTTAACAGTGGTCATATTATGATCACAATATACATGATTCAGAGTTCCGGTTTTTCACTCTCGATACTAGGGCTGACATGGAATATGTATATTCTTGATATCGAATTTCCTCGTTTCAAAGTGTACTATACAACTATAGCATGGTGATGAGGTCGATACATGGTTTTATCAACCTAGGTTAGTAATATTAACCGAGAACGCAGTCCGAGGTCAATATTGCTAACTTAGGTTGATAAAACATGTATCGACCAAAATTACCATGCTACAATAGTTTTATTATTTTATTTGATTTTTTTCAAAATTTAAGAAAAAAATGTAAAAAAATATGTTTTCCATTTTTTTCCATTTTTTATTAGTCACAAATATTAAAATCAACTAAACAAAAATATCAGAAAAACAACATTTTTTAATTAAATATCTGCAATAATCATTTAAATATCTGCAATAATCATTGTTCAAATTACTGAATCAATTCTTTACTTTACCAAGTGACTTCAGTGTTAATCATTACCGTGTTTGTCTCCCATGGGGTGTTAATCAAGCATCTAAATGACTTCACAAAAAATCCAGAATCTATTTTTAGCAGGTCATTAACCCTTTTTCTATCCAACTGTTTTGAACACCTGTTCCAGAATCTATTTATAGCAGGTCAATAACACTTGTTCTACCAACTTTTGAACACCTGCAAACCACTCAGGTTTATAACTACTTTTACAGGTGGTCACATGATGTTGTTTTAGCCAATCAGAGTCGGCTCAAAATCAATTAAAATAAAATACGTGTTTTGGGTTTATTAAGCTCCACATATATTTCATACTATAAATCAGACTCGATGTTTTAGAGTCAACTGTTTTTTTTTTCTTTTGGCGGGAAACGATCAAATTTATTGACAATAGTTCAATTAAAGTCGCCTTCGTAATATTATTGAAATGATTTAACATTAGTTTAGCAAGACAGAAAATGTACAATACGAAATATATTCTATAGATGTTGAAATAAATTTGAGAATTTTCCAGATATCATCTGTTATTAATAGCACACACGACCTCAGCATGGGTACATACTAGCCCTTATATAATGTACAAAAGATACAAGAATATCAACAGCAAACCGAATAACTTTAAGTAGATCTACAGTTGACAACAGAACATGTACATAAGATCAAGGCAAGTGTGCATTAAACACCAGAACGTATACAGTAGTTCAATAAAAAGACCACAGAACGCGTACATGTGTTTAAAGCAGGTGTACAGTAGACCTCAGAACCTGTTAAATGGTTCAAAGAAGTTGCACAGTAGTTCAGTAATACATTAGACTCAAGAACGTGTAAAATTGTAAAAAACACTTGTACGGTAGAAAACAGAACATGTACAAAAGTACAAATCAGTTGCACAGAGGACCCAATAACGTGTCCAGTAGTTTACAGCAGTTGTACAGTTAACATTAGAACGTGTACAGTAGTTCACCAGAAGGTCCTACAATGTATACAGATGTTCAGAGCAGTAAATCATTAGACTCAAGAACGTGTAAAATTATTAAAAACACTTGTACAGTAGACCCCAGAACATGAACAACAATACCTAGCAGTTGTACAGAGGACCCCAGAAGGTGAACAGTAGTTCACAGAAGTTGTACAGTAGACCTTATAACGTGTACAGTAATTCACAACACTTATACAATAGACCTCAGAACGAGTATAGCAGTTCACATCAGTTTTACAGTAGACCTAAGAACGTGTACAGAAGACATCAAAACATGTATTTTAGCCTAAGTACATGTACTAATTTATGTGAGACGTGTTTAACAATTATATAGTAAAAGAACGTATTAACTTAGGAATATTTGTGTAGACAGTAGACTCAGTAGGTGTACACGAGATCTCGAAATGTGTACAGTAGACCTCACGTTATATACACCAGACCTCAGAACGTGTAC